CCCTCGGCGTCGGGTTAATCGGGTTAGATTATATATACCCCGAAGAGCCTCTCATTCTCTGACTGAAAGCTCATGTCAACTAATCACGATTCCTTCCGCAATAATTATTTCTCGTCAGTGATCAATTGAATTTTTCATTATTCGGAGGAATTTTTTGCGTTGTAATCAGAGTATCGGAGGTGCTCCATCGATTTTTCAATTACGGTAATAAATAATATTAGCTGAGAGGGGTGACTCTACAGCGTCACCGTTCAAATGGGGTCGTGAAAACTAACTTAATCAGGGTAACTTCCCTTCCACTTAATAAAGCTGTCTCAATTTTTACCTCGTTACTGATTCTTCCTTCAATCGATGATTCCTCACGCTCAATTTAATCGAGATGTTTGATGAGGCAGACCTAGGGACAATTTAACGAGAGCTCGAATGACCCCGAGATCATATTCTCCGCCGAAAAAAATATTCCGTAATAATTCCAAAACAAATCGAGGGCAAATGTGCCTGAAGGTCGGCCAAAGGTCGCGTCAATGTCAAATAATCATCGAGATTTATGGAACCAATAATAATAATCTATTAAGGGCACTTATGATTGGGTGAACAATATTGAATCGACTATGAAAAAGAATAAAAAAAACATTGAATAAACGGGAATCGATTGACTCGTCAAAATTCCCGGTATATGGGATTTCGGTGAATGTTCGGGGTGACGTGGTACTGAGGGGGGGATTATATTCGTGTACTATCGAATCGCGAGAGGGTGAGGGGTAGAATTGGCTCGACAGCCGGTTGATTAGTTACACGAGCGTATGTGAGGGCATTCTCGCTCATTCTCGTTGTCTCACTTGCCCCAATGACACGGGATCGGGTATTTTGGTAGTTTCAGTACATGCGTGAACCCACCGCCGATTATTGCTTGTCCGAGGATACACGAAGCAATCATGTCATATTATGCGATACGCGTGCCGATCCTCTCACATCGACTTATCCAGTTTGAATAATAAAAAAATGGGTAACGGTTAAGTGATTCGGGTGTATCGAATTTTTCTGACAGATAGAATTAATTGCTCATGTGATAATTAAGTGATTAATTGGAATGTCTCGATTTGGAAGCAACAGCCGATTACGGTGCAATCGAAGGAGAAAGAAAATTTAACGTCTGATTTTTTTGTCGTGGAGAATAACTTTCTGGGGGCAACGCGACGAGGGACTATATATATACCCTGTGTAGGGGTCGGCCAGTGGAGTTGATAAAGAAATAAAGAATTGTAAAAGTTGGCGTCGAACCCAAGCGCTGGCTCCCGAGAGGCCTTATGACTTAAAGTCTCCTTACTCCGTTAATTCCGAACATTAACAAAAGTCTCGCTAAAACTCACCGGCCAACTTTCCATCCACCTCATCTCAGGGGTTCGGGGTAACTTGTTAATGAAAAAAATATAATAAAACTTCGTCAGAGCGTGGTCATTGCTGCTGGGGAATATCTCATTTGTCTAAACATTTACCGTGCCCTTAGCAATTCAACATTTTTATTATTCAATGTGGGAGACACTTTGGCGAGAGCGAGACCGTCTTAATGCTGCTGCGGAGGGTATAAACCGTTTTATACATCTCGAGTTTTATAACACTCCTTACACTCTTTCGTCGCTTTACGAACGAGACCACTCACTTATTCATCCCGGCGAGATGAACTTTACGGAGATTTTAATAACGGCCCAGCGGACTGCGTAAAAATCTTCACGCCCAAGTTACAAATACAATTTTCTCAGGGTTTCTGTGACAATTTCACAATTTACGGGGTAATTTATACGTAAAAATGAATAATTCTTTGGTAATCGACGGAGCCGCCTGGCGGTGGCGTCCCTGTACCTCATTTTCATAACCTCATCGATCAGAAAATGAACCCGGAATCGCGTAAAATCATAGAAAAAGATGAAAACAAAATTGAGAAAGCCGTGGAACGATGAGGAGACGGGGGCGGCAGAAACGAGAGGGCGAGAGGGCGAGAGGGCGATTTCTACCCCTGGGGAACGGTCGAGTCGACTCGAATCGCTACGAACGGCACAACCTCGTTCATTTCTTCCTCGCTTTCATTTTTCCCCCGTCCTGCACTCTTCTATTTTTCTTTTCCATCTATCCACAACCACGAGCAGATCGTTTCTTTAATTTTCAGCGCGATCAAACATGATTTTCACCCCTGCAAAACTTTTATTACATAACTGATATCGGATATATATTTTTCCAGTCATATTTCCACCGAAGAATTTTATTCCGCAATGGGCAATTGCCCGTATGGGTAATTAGTGGACGAAGTGGGGGTTAATGATGCCATTAATGACGCAGAATTTATAGTGTCTATTTTGGCGAATGCATGGAGGTGTTATTTGTATCTGTAACGAGTTTTCTTCTACCGAAATTAATTCCGGTGACTTCAGACGTGTATCCACGGAATAATGTCCCACCGGTAATTTATCTATTTCATTCCATTGTGAAAATTTCACCGATAGATCTTTCTCCTGAGTTTTCGCTGCACATTGAAATAAAATATTGAGATGTCAAAAAATTCTGGGGAATGACTATCGAATGGGGGAAAATGGTAAGGATATTTATATTTACCTCACCCTAAAAATCTCAGTTTTATCGAGAATTACCCTTGCCTTTTCCCGGACGGGAGTGAAAGTTGATCACGCGGGAACGCGCTCTCCGGGGGAGTCGGCCCGGTAAATGCGATGTGATGCGAGTAACTGAGTGACTAATTGAATGAGGTGTCTCCCAGGAACGGCAATCCCGTCACACGTCAGAACTGCTGTGCCTACGGGACCACCGAGTCCTCCTCCCACCGCTCACTTGAAAACCAACTGTTCGGCAACAGTCGTGTACGTGTGGCATTCAAATGATTGAGGTGAGTATACATACTCCCCATGACAATCAAATTTTCCATCGTTAAATTATTACAGCTTTATCAGGGTGAATTATGCGTGAAAAACAGGCAAAACCGACGGCTCCTGAATCATTAATCAACCACGGGTGAACGATGGCAACCAGTCATGAATAAATAATCCATTGCTCATTTTTCTCAAATTCTCCAAATCTATTAATCATCAGTTCAAGTTGCAATTATCGGGATGAATATATTTTTTTTTTTTCATTTTTTATTTTTTTACGCTTGGGGGTTGGACTTGAGGGACTTGATAGACTTGATGTGGATCGGTAAAGGTTAGCTGCTTATGCATTCTTGGCGCGAAGGCAATCGCAGGGATGGCAGGAAGCTGGAGGTACGAGTGGATTTTGGAATGCCGTATACGAGAGAGAAGACCAGTTCAGACAAGAGAACAATTACGCGCCGTCAGTTCTGTGACCGGTAGGCTGCTGCGAGGTGAATCAAAACTACCCTGGAGCTCTCATTCCAACCTTCCTACTCTCTCGGAGGACCTGTCCAAGTCATAGGGCTGACACTGAGTCGTATCGATCATCGGTGAGAGTTTGGATTTCACCTCGAGTCAGAACTCGAGGCATAACACCACCAAACTTCACTTTTCCGATCGCTTAGGACTGATAACTCAACCCCAAAATTATTCAAAATCGGAATCTATTTTTAACGGTTATTCTACATGACCCCGAACCATTTTATTGTGGTTAGTAAATATTCTGGGCAAAAGATCGAATAAATCCCATCGCTTTTTCATTCATTTACAACCCTGTTAGGATATAATGATCGATCAGGACTTTAAATGATTAGATATCGACAAGTGTAATCTGGTGGTGAATATGAATGGTGCATGGTCGTCATCAGCATTGCGACAAACTTCCCCAGTCAGAGAACGGCCTTGGCTATATACAGGGATACGAGAGAGGGTAAAATTCGTGTCGATGCGACCAACTCGAAAGTCGAAAGGGCCGAAACTGCTGGCTTTGCGGAATTACTCGACGGGTAGGCCCCATGGGGCTGAACTTGTCCGCGACAATTTCAAACTTATTTTAACATTCATATAAGCCCCTCACCCTCTTCTCCCCCACCGACATTTTCAGCTCATACCCTTCCACCGTAGTATACGTACCATTTTCTAACCTCCATAACCTCTCAGGAATGGGAAAGTATCGTCGGTGTTAGGGCGTACAAGCATAAGGGTTGCTTTGGATTTACATAAAATTATATCCGTTGCTATTTCGGGTACCGCACGATGTCGTCAATCGCACACTCGAGGGCTATTGATTGAGGGGGTGGCGAATAATGAGGGGGAATAATTGAGAATTGATCGGAGAATGTACGAAATATTTCGGTGGTGGTTTAGGGATGCGTCGTGAGCATTTGGAATTTTTTTTTTTAAAGTATTGCTGAATTTATTCCGATGCGCGATCGACTTTTCAGACTATGAATACGTAATGCGTAATACAAGTATTATAAAAATACTGGAGAGGAAAAATTTAACAGTCCCGGGGGTGTGTCTACATCACATCTCAGTTAATCTCTTCGGTCCACTTTTTTAACGTTCGGAAATTGAATACCGCCTTTATTTAAGACTGAGAGGAGTCATCATTTCTTTGGGGAAATTTTTTCTCATGTGGTAGTAATAGAGAATAAATTATTCCCCGCATTATATAATAAATACCGCGGGTTTGAAATCAAATAAAAAAGGCTGTAGGAATTTTCTGGAATTACCCAGTGGATTTTTTCGATTATTTTTATCCATTTGTTTGATAATAATTTAGAATGCAGGAATTAAGAAAGGAAAAATATGAGATGAAATGATTTCAAATTAAATATGAAATATTCAAAGATGACTGAGGTGACGTCTACCTCAGAAACCGCGAACTAAATCACTCTGGACACTTTAATCTCTACATTTTCTTCTGTTACTGGTATATCACTGGAAATTTTTTTTACCGACTGCTGCACGTGTCTGTCCAAAAAATGGACGTTACCGACACGACCGACTGTCAACCATAATCAAGCGGATAAAACAACGGCGCTTCGACTTAAACATTCCGTCATGATCAATAAACTGAAAGTCTATCGAATCGGCTTCAGGTGTCAAACCCTTTCCTCGTCTCCAAGATGCTGCGCTCCATGTCCCATATCCTGCGCACATTAACACCAAAATGCAATCCTCAATTCGACCTCTACTCAACGACAAGCAACAAAACCATGAAAGAGACATGTGACCCGATACCAGTTATCGTCGTAAGTGAAATCTTCATTAGTCATCCCTTTCGCACCCTAATTAATGATCCCGGTAGGTTCTGTGCGGCTGCGGTGGTCTGGACGGTACCGAGATATCGGAATCCATTTCACTCGCGATAAATCTCTCTCATCACAATTTCTATCCAAAATTCTTCGCACCCGACATGGAGATATGCGGTGTCGTCGATCACTTGACGAAGGAACCCGATACATGTGGTGAACCACGGAATGCCCTGGTGGAGGCAGCCAGATTAGCCAGATCATCAATCAAATCACTGAGCGATTGTCAATCCCAGTGCGGCGCAGCCTTGATAATACCTGGTGGTTTTGGTGCTGCTCGAACCATGTTAGGAGAACAATTAAATAATCAACGGGAGACGACACACCAATGAATTATTACAAAATGTCCTTTCACTTTTCAATAGGAGTGACTTTGCATCGAAAGGAGCTGAATGTGCCCTAATCCCAGATTTAAGGCGAGTCATCGAGGAGTTCAACTGTGAGAAAAAGCCCATTGGTACAATGTGCATTGCGTCAGCTCTTGTTCCCCGGGTTCTTCAGGGCGTCAAAGTCACCCTAGGAAAGGATGGTAGTGCTTCCCGAGCATGACGATACCTCTCGAATAATTCGGATAATGACATTTCAGGATGTAAGGACGACTGGCCTTATGCTGAGGCCATCCGCAGGGTCAAGGACATGGGGGCCAAAGTCGAGGAACAGGATGTAAAAGGTGTTACCTATTGTGAGCAGTACAATGTGTACTCAACACCAGCTTGGATGTACGGAAAAGCCACCTATGACGAGATTCACCAGGGCATTGGGAATATGATTGCGGAAATGAAGAAGAAGATTGTTCGCTGATGGCGGAAGGCATTTTGTGAGATTTACTTAAAATATTCTTTATTCAGGTTCTTTATATCACCTCCATGACAAGTTTATAATTGTGAGATATGTATTTTTACGCTCCATTGTTCTACACCGGGAATCTTGTCTGTGAATTGTTGATAGGTTAGGCTAGAGTTAGAACTACAATAGTCAACAACAAATTATAACAATGGGTTGAAGCTGGAATTAAGTTGTGGTGCAACTTTATGACAGCTTCGGTGGAGATGAAGACCAGATCGATGGAGTATATTCAATGCTGGCCACGGGGAGAAATTTATTGGCTAATTTATTAATGCGCAATGACTTGGGTAGTTAGACGGTAATGCAGAACCGGAAGTCGTACTGCTTTACCATTTAACTACGAAATTCAGTACTTTCTCATTTAACCCAAGTAATTCAATTCAATTCTGATTTACGCTGATGTGATTACATTTTTTTTTATTAAAATACAAGGAATGCCAATAAATTCTCCACCATCTCCTCGATTTTGAGGCCTACAGATAACTTTCCATAGCGGTAGGAATCTTCCTCACTCATTAATACCACCAATTGATACTTTCACTTTTACAAAATAATATTATAATAATACAAATAATAATAATAATAAAGTCCATGATATTGTCGCGATTGGCCACACGGAGAGAGGGAGCTAAGGAGCTTTCGTCATTAGTGAGTGATTTTTGAATTCACTGATTGGTGATGATAGTTCATTGCACCTCTCCTCGTAAAGAATTTCAATGAATCGGCCGATGCATTTCCCCGATATATCCCCAGAAAGAAATGAAAATTGAAACTGCAAAAGAGAAGAAAAATTATTCAGACTTTGGTTCTGATCTCTCGAGGCCAGATTCCGCTGGGACACGAATCCCCGAAGCACTCTCCACTCGATTCACATACACTATTAGCACGCATCAAATAACCATTACGATTTTCCATCGATTGTTCAGCTGAGGGCAAGCAGGGGCTCAAAATTGGTCATGCGTGATTTCCTAGCCTTGTCGTCCTGGTACTTCTTTATCTTGATGAGTTTCCTTTTACCCTGGCTGAGTTTCTTTGTGGGAGTTTCCGTGGTGGTGGTCATGCCATTGACATCATCATCTCCCTGTTCCTCGAGCATTCGGAGGGTCTCGATGATGTTCCTCGGCTCGTTGGTCCGACCCTTCGTGCCATTCCTGTTAGCGTAAACGACTGACAGGTGCGAGAAGCTGGATTTGGGTGGAGCTGTGATATCGGCAAAGTCCCGGAAGTTGGCGAAGAAGTCACCACCACGGATTGGCTGAGGCTTGGGGTTGCGGTAGTAGGCCCGACCCCTGGCGGCACTCGACGAGTAATACGGATTGTACAAGCTCTCATCAACGGAGTACTCTTCAGCCTCCTTGTCCTCCGGATAATAAGTCCCACCACGAATGACACCGAAGTTGCCTGATCCCAGAAGTGGATGTTGTGTGCTGTCCTTCACGTTGGTGGCAGCTGTTTGATACCCAGAGCTGCGATCCCTCTGGAAGTATCCGAGGAAGCGATTTGGTCGGAATCTCTGCTGCTGCTGATCCGCGTAGGGCAGCCTCTGATTAGCAAACAATTCCGCAAACGACGGGAAGAAGTTCTGGCTCTCTGGAACGAGTGATCTGTCATCCGGCCTTGGCTCTGGATTCTGCACCGGCTCAGATACCGTAGCCGTGACTCTCGTCTCTTCGATGATCGGCGATGAAGTGACGGATGAGGCTGCTGACAGCGTGACCTCTGGCTCCCTCGGCAGATCCGCTGTCTTCGGGTTCTGCTCAACAGTCTCAGCTCCATCAGGCTCCATATACATGTCGGAGTCGTCTGAATCTTCGTAGTCACCTCCATGCACCTCCGATGCAGCTGCTACCGAGTCCTAGAAGGAAGATAAATTACATTTGAGTGGATTGCAACGTTAGGAGATCGAAGAGAGGCTGCCTTGACATTTAAGAACACGCGTACATGGACCTATCTGCGAAATACTACACTGATCTAGCTATTCTATTCTGCGGTCTGGGGCCTTAGAAAATTTACTTGAGCCCGTGGGCAATGCTGTATGACTTGTGTGCCTCAGGTACACGGTACCAATTGCAACACTCCGACACGCCTTGGTATTGTTACCGAGTATGTCAAACCGTTAGCCTCCGCAGGCACTATTCCATGCTCCCGTATTCAAATCGAAACACAAGCCCTCTCTCTATCGCACCGGTCAATTGTGAAATTTTTAACTAAAAAAATTCAAATGGAAACTCGAAATTGCATGATCATAACCTCATTACGACCAGTAATAGCTAATTTGGCGGGAAAATATTATTTTGGCGCCATTTCAGCTCGATCAATACACATAACCCCTTTATGATCAGGTTACGTACGAGTGGCCTAATATAAAATGATTCATGAGAAATGATTCCATAGAGTCGACGGGTAGAGACGTGAGACAACTTGAATACTGTCTAGTCATAATATTTTGATGTTGGAATGTCATGATGACATTTACGGACAGCTCCATAAAACCTCATTGTTTCCATATTTATTATCTTCCATCGGTCTTCATGGTGTATTGCCATCACAATGCAATATACCTCGTGTATTCAATGGTATTTTTATCTCCGCTGCATGAGAAAATAGAGAGATGGTTTCAATTGCTCGGTCGAGTTTATAATGGCGTCAATTATACTGTCATTCGGAGAGATTGGCGATTCGTCTGGAGCTGTCACACTCTCGCAAGATCAATCGCCGATAAGTGGAAGAGAGATGTTATTACTTGCAATCGCAATTGCACTGATGCACAATAATTATTATATTAACGCAGACCCATTCGGCACGAGATGCATTATATACGAATTAAGGACAATCAGCATGAAAAAAAAAATTGGTTAAGATGAATGATCATGATGAGGAGAGCTAGTAGGTGGATAGAACTGTATTAGATGGTGAAAGTGAAGGTTCGTAAAAATCCATTGTCTGGGTTCAACTCTGTTATTATATTTTTTTCCTTGTGGTTAGTCTCATTTTTTTCAAGATTAACGATCGTTTACCTGTAAAAATTGCGGAAATTGACGTTTTGGGGTGATGTAATTTATCTTCAGATATTTTTGATCGATTATGTAAAAGGCGTGGGATGAGTCGATCACGAAGAAGATATTAAAAGCGGATTAATATCACTGGTGATGAGTGAACCAATCAATCTCATATCAAGGAATAAATAATCAATGGTTCAGAATTTTTTTTAAGTGCCATTTTCAATTTACCTCATGGCCAGACTGGTCTTCAGGTACTGCCCCGCCATCTGCAACAGAGATGAGAGGAATTTCAATAACAATTATTGAGAATCATCAATTATATTCAATAAAAATATAAACAAACTGGTGTTTTTAATTTATCAATTTGTCATTTCAGGTGGAGGTGGGGCTCAAGGGTAGATTTACAACAACTTGGATGAATAAATCAAGCAACAAAACCACCCACAACCGGACATCTTCCGAGTGCATGTAGAATTGTAAGTGAATTAACCGGTCGCATTTATCACTTGCACCTCGACATTCAGACCCGGATAATGCACTCCAAGGACACCTCGTGCTATTTATACAATCGAAAATTCGTGTTTCATCAGGGGCTAGGGAGGAGGGATGGGAATAATCAGAATTTTAAATGGAGAGACATAGAAATAAATTTGATGGTGAGTTTTTCCTTCGTTTTGCATTCCTGGAGTGGTTGGACACTCCAATAAGAGAACCTGTTCCTTCACTTCAGTTTTGAGTCCAGGAATGGCTCTCGGGGCTCCACTGACACCAGTCTTTATCATTTCTTCTATAAATCAGTCAGGCTTCACCTTCTTATTCCACTTTTTTTTTCGGTATTTTCTCGTGGAAATGTGGAGAGATAGATGAAATTGCGAGTGGGGCAACTGTTGCCCTCGGGCGCAGTCTTTCAGACCGAGGGTCTGGTGACATGGGCTAGATTATTAATTAGTGCACGTGGAGGCTATGGATTTTTTTAATAGCGGAATCCTCCGGGTTTCGTGGAGAAAGCCAATTAGAAGTTTCAGGACTTAAAGAATTTCATGCGACGATTGAAACCCTTTTCCATTCCAAAATCATTTTCTCGCATCTGTTCATACCCTAAATATTAAAAGGCAAGGCAACTCTTTATCGCCAATAATTTCTCTCCCTCGTCGAACACTCGCAATCTGGGGATTCGAGCAAATTATAGCGTTGAGAAAATCCATTCGAGAAAAACAGCTTCAATTTAAGAAAAATCACTCCTCTCTGAATTTTAACGAGCCAAGAATCCTCGAGTGGCTTCTCCCTTCAAGAGAAAGTACAACGATTCCCTCCCATTCAAATGCAGACCATCAATATTATCTCGGTAATAAATATGAAAATAAATATCGAAGTTTCAACGAAAAATATCGTATCGATGGAGTTATTGAAGATTATTTGATCATTCGAAGTTGAAGGCCCAAAATACTTTCACTTCCAAAAGCTGATGCCTCGGATTGAATTTTGTTTACCGAAAAAAAGCGAGAATTAGAATTATGAATAGATTTTGTCGACCAAGTGGATTTGAATGCCGAAGGTGTGGCAGCCGACTCCCACGATCCCACAATAATATCACGATTCCCATGATTCGAATCTAAGCGTCCTTCGTATCTCTTTTATTAGCTCTACGCAATCACTCCTTAATAATTTCAAATAACTCCATTTTTTAACCCACTTGAATTATATCATAATTAAGGGCAATTAAGTTTCAATGGTAATTATTCATGCGAGAGATTTTTATTTCATCGAGGGATAATTAAATTCACGCGGATAAATTCTGTGTCATTGAAAAATTATAAAATCAACTGCCACTTGTATGATTTTATTATGCCTTTTTTTTTATTTCATATCTCTCGTGGAATTTGATTGATCAATTTTACGAGTCTGATGTTCTCGGGAAATTCCGGGATGTAATTCGTATTTTCTGAATGAGGAAGAATTACTCTACGAGCATTTCCTAGTGGATCCCAGTGCCGAACGAATTATAACGCATTACGATGATTATTGTTCATTACGATTCACCGCAAAACGTGATTTCCCGTTATGTCCAGGAGAAAAATTGAGTTGTATCTTGGATTCAGATGTTTTGAATTTATCATCATTGGGTGACTAGTCGGTGAGAGTTTCCTCGTTTGAAGATCATGAAATGATTGCGAGAGTACGTGAGTCCTGAATTTTTTTTTTAACCCGAGCAATCAAAATGGTCGCCCACAGGATCTCCATGTGCCATTAAAATAAAAAAAAATTGTAAATTCCTGTTGGAATTCCAAGGGACGTTATTCTATCCGCCTGATTGACGATTACATCTCCACTTATCTTGTCGGTAATCTAGAAGATGGAAGAAATCCCGGGGAAAGACGAGAAGGTGAAACTTTTTCCAGCGAAACAAATTGGCGATTCATTGAGTCGCCGTTTCAAATGAGAAAAAAGGAAATAATATCCCCGAGCAGGAAATAAACTCACAACAAATTTATCGCTCGTACAAACCGTATCTATTGATATTGTCTTTTACCCTGTTATATATTTTTTTTTTTCATTCGAGGGGAAAAAACATGAGGCAAGAAATGGCTATTCTGGAATCGATTTAAATCGCTTCCTAGTGGAGACCACCATGCGCGAATTCAAGTTTTATTCATCACTTGGAATCATGCCGTTGTAGAAAACCAATTACAATTTGAGAGACGGGAAAAACGACGAGAAGAGAACGAGAGCTGTTTCCGAATTGAGAATTACTGGAATTACGTATTACTCAGCTGCTACTTCAGGTTATATTCGTCTCAATTACTCCGTCTCAATTACACCAGCAATTCAATTTCAATGACAAATATTGCATATGTTATTTCCGGCGAGAGAGATCAATTATTCACTTTCATTTTATTATCATTCATCTTTCCTCTTAATTTTTCAGAATATTTATCATTTGGTTGGAGTGCAAGTCCGCGAGGCGGCGCAACCGTTGGTTTCTTTTGAATTTTACATTTTAATTCTAAAAATGATTCTTTCCGTCAATTACCAATTGGTGAGAAGTTTCTCCAGGGAAAGGAACGAGAAGGGAATTGATTCCCGTAAATTTCAAGGAATCACACATTTTTTTTGGTCAGATTTTCCACCACAAATAATTCTCACATGATCAGAAATGATGGATTGCATTCTCAATCGATCTGGCACTGACCTTGACAGTGTGACCAACCGTATCGATAGTCATACCATAAATTCCAAAGGCAAAATTGACTCGAGTTCGATGGCACTTTCATGCGCGCACGCTGTAATTATCAGTGATTCCCAAGTATTTCACATTTGGAAACCAGTTTTTCACGATCTCACCGGATTCGCTACTCGTCCCACTGATACGAGTGTTGTCATTCTTATCCACGTAAAAATCGCGAAAGTCACCACCAAACGGCACAAGCTAAAGGATAAATGGAACAGCACGTATGCCAAAGTTATTCTCCCATCGGTCTGAAGGTTGCGAAATAAAGCGGGCATTAATATCAATCACAACTCAATGTACCTTTCTTATTTCAGCGATAGTATTCATTTTAGATCACGCGAGAAGCTCGCGGTTGAATTCTCCTTTCAGAGTATTTTATTGAATAATTAATTTGGTAAGAGCATTCCAGCTATTGCCGACGCAATATGAAGATTGATGGATTTAGCTGATGGAAAAATATTATAAATTGAAATATTATGTCATTGATGGTCTGAACCACTTGACTGGCTCCATCAGAGTGAGATATGCATTTTAAAAAATCTCTTGTTCTGGGATCTCGAAGATTGTAAAGTGAATGAATTCTCAATGTTCAATTTTCCTTAGTCCCACGAGATTGTAATCAGCACGACTAGCTGATAAAATTCTGCGTGCAATTGTTCGCCTCCCGCTGCGACGACAGTAGCAGTATAACAAGCAATCGCATGAATCACCTGGAAAGAGCTTCCGGGATGATCAGCAGCACGTGATCCGCCATTTCTACTGTATTTATACATTAAATTGCGACTTTCACTGGGGCCACACGACGAAAGTTGACTTCCTGGTATTGAGATGATGTTCCGATCGCGGCCGCTATCAGTCGATCGCTCCTGAGGTACGTCAATCACTCGTCGATTGAAACAAAGATCGAGCTAGTTCTCCCAAGCCCACCGATATCTACGTGACAGATCAGGACTGCTTTTTCATTAGACCTCTATTTCAAATGGAGCCGATCCCCATGACGTTAACGAGGCGAACCGCGTGGGTGTGCACTGGCAAGGACGATGAATCCTAGTTACCGTTTTTCCTTCCTACATTATCCAGGCGCAGCTAATCACCAAGGAGAATATAATCATTGGTACAAGGACGGTCACGATTAAAATGAGATTTAGAATAATTTTTATGGAGTGAACCTCGGAATTTCGGCGCTGTGATGCCTGGCGGTGGCGTCATGGAGATCGGTTCAAGGTTAATCATAAATTAATGAGATTCGGTTCGATCGTTAATATTAATTTTTATGCATCATGATACATTGTCAATGGGTTCGGATATTTTTCAATAGCTGGAAAAATTGAAACCGGTAAATAATTCCAATATCAGCGGCTCGAATCTCCGAGGTAACAAAGCCCTCGGACAGCGTGAAGTGCTAATGAGCCTGGAGATCGATATCTGCGCGAGTATATCCGTGGGTAAACAACGAAGGAGGAAAGTCTTTCACCTCCCGCACATGACTACCAAATGAGTTACGATTGCATAAGCCCCTGGCCCTCGCGATCTTCACAAGCCGCTTCTGAGGTGACCGGATTTTCCCATTGCCACTAACAATTCCCACTTTCTCTGGCGTTCCTTAAAACATCAATTTTTTTTTCTCACTCAGGTAATAAGAAAACCGAAAAATCCATCCTTCGTCATAAATATAACAAAATTGCATTCTGAAGTTGAACTTGTTGAAACAACATCTTGTGAAAGTGAGTGTTTTAAGCCCCTTCGTGCACCTCGTAAACAATTTTTTAATTAAAAACCGGCGGATAACGATAATAAAATAAATTCCGAGTGTCGGAGATCACCCGATGACCTAGTGAATCGGATAATTGACGTGATCGACGTCGAATTAACACAACTCCCTGGTCTACCCTCGATTCTTATGTACTACATGACATTTACGGGTTTTCCATCACTGGATACCGTCCGCGATCCATGACTTTGCCAGAGGCGTGTTTGTAACACTTTCTCGGGGATAAATAATTTCCGTGGGGAATAATCGAATCACTGGGGGCTGACAATTTATAGCGTCATTGCTAATTAGTATCGGATACATCGGGAGACACTCAGTCCTCCATTCTTACTCCTCTCGACGGACTATTTCTTTCTTCACTGGTGAGGGACAAACTTCCCCATGAAGCAACACAACAGATTTACGTGATTGCATAAAAAGAAATAGAATTGCCCGTAATTATTACCATGTAATTGATTGGCGTCCACTCACTGGCGACAAAGAAAAAAATAAAATACCGAAACACATTTCTGAAAGTTCCCAATCCCTCGTAAAAACACTGTATTAAATTCCCATTCGACAATTACCGCATCATAATTATTCTTCTGTGCCACGTGCATCATACCGGGGGATTGTTTTTCGCTGGATTGTAATTATATAGTCGCGAT